CTTCCCGGTTAACTTTTTGTCACTATAGCGTTAACTTTGGTCTTATGTTCCTCTCCCTTTATACTTCGGCCTTGCTTGTCTTCTTATTAAAACAAACGTTCATTTTTTGGCTCTGATTCCTATTATTATTTCCATTTACCGCCGTCTACTGCTTGTCAGTTTACAGCCCCACCCTTCTAACCCCCTATTACCAGGTGCCCGTAAGACAGAAGGACCTTAGTTTCCCATACATATAGCAAACGCAACGGCGATTGCCAGCCAGAGCCAAGGAGCACTAACCTAATTGTTTATTAAAATATCAAAACAGACCTCCTCGTCCATCAAGTACGGAATATCTGCCAGACACGGGCCATTCTGTGGATACCAAAACTTCTTTCCGAGTGCTTGTTCGGGCACGAACAACTCGTACCTTACGCTACCTGGAGGCCGCCTTCATACGGCGGTAGAAATCCAACCTATGTTAACAGCTGGAGCATGTGGTGAACCTAACACTTCCGCGGTTATACCGGCTTCTAGTTTACGCATTTCCCTTGCCAACTGTTTTGCCTTAGACGCCTTTGCCCGCTGTTGCTGCTCACAGTGTTTTGACCTGCCTAAGTTATTGAAAAGCCTTCTTGGCCATTTTCTGTGACCTTGCTGTTTGCATCGATTTTCCTGTACGAATTCGATTTTTTCTTACGTTATGTTATGCAACTAGAGGAAGCAGCTGCTGAGCACTGTTTACACAGTCTTCAACATTGCACCAAGGAAAGATGCTTTAAAATAATGATGTTACACGGCTTCTTGCATAACTTACTCACAAATTCATAGCAATTACCCAACATGGAAGTCGTTTGCAGTATGTAAAGCCCGAGCATAAATAAAGGAAGGCAATTGTTCATAGTTATGTATTTTAAGAAAAAACAACACCAAAATTTCGCATGAGTAAAGTAATTCAGCATAGAAGTGTTCTAGGACAGTTGAGATGATAAGGAAGATGAAGGAAGAATAAAACAAAACCAATCAATGATGAAACATAAACTAGCTGAATGAGCATGCGATAAGTCCTCATTGAGGCTGTCGTTTTGTTCAAATTTAACAATAATCAGTGACGTGCTGAAAGGAAAAATATAAAAAGAGATAATTCAAAAAAACGCAAAATCAAAATAGTTGAAGGGGTCATTGAGGACCAACCTTATGGTTAAACGGCACAACTAACCGGCACCAACTTAATTTCCCCGGTGCAATAAACGCCACACCATAGCGCAGTATTGGTACGCGTGGCAAGGCATGGCTGGTGATGGGCAGGGTATAAGTACGAAACGACTTTACTCAGAAGATTTACACGACGATACCGAAGTGACACGCTTGTACTTCCCAAAAGGTGCCGGACAGGTTGCACCTCACTGCATCAATAAGAAGATTGAAAGCAAAACTAATAATTCGAGATCTTATTTGGAACAACCAATTACTGATTTGGTGCAGGGTTAAGGCAATCCACTATCCGTGAATACCTAGCCTAACTGCTATCATAAGTGAGTACTCCTGATTACAATTACGACCCCAAGCGGTGGCTGCAGGAGGTGGTAATTACAGTACGCATGCAGATGACCGCCAAGAACTATAAATAGCGCGCAATCTGCGCATGTCTTACACCATTCTACAGTTACCTAAGGATTCTTGACAGAATCCGAAACGTCACGGAAATAATGCATTTTGTTCCTGCGATCGTATCTTGTTCTTAACTGCCG